TTTAAATTTGCGAGTTAATTTAATACTTATTAACGAGTTTTAACACTAATGAACAGGTTACAAATTTCTTCAAATATAAATTCATTAAAATTTTTACTTTTTATTTAATTATTTTTATTTATTTATAGACATTTTGACTGAGAGCAAAATTTGTAATAATTCATTCTGCATACGTTATTGACTGTGCTAAACAAAGACGAAAATAAATCACTCATCGTTCTTTTGAGCGAGTGATTTGTAATCATTTAACATCTTTGTTAGACTTTGCATATATTGTAATTATTATTGCTATTAATAATCATATTTTATACTCTTCCACAGTATCAGTTATTACGTAATGCTTATTTCTAGGATTTACCAAATATGTAGGTGGTGGTTTATAAATTCGCTATAATATTTAATACTTTAAATTTATGTAAACGTAATAGTAATAGAACAACACTTCAATAAATTAGTTACAATAGAGTAATATTAGCTAAACAATAATTTATTAGTAAATTTTGCGATATCATGTACTGCTTTATAAAAAAAAACTTGTTTAGATGATCTTCAGAATTTTCTTTAATACATACATAAATCATAATTTTTTATAAAAGTTTTTTACAGTTATGAGTAAATTTCACATAAGTACAAGCAATATATAATTGTAAAATAATTATCTCAATGCATATATAATTATGCAATAATTATCCCAATACATACAAAATTCATAAAAAAATAACAAAAACTGGTATCAGCATCTTTAAGAGAATAAAGAATAGCAACAATCGAATATTTAATTTTATGTTCCAAACTTATGAACTAATTATAAGACAATTGACGACTGCGAATACTATGTTCACAAAACAGATAAAAAGTTGAAAATTTAATAATGAATTCAAAAACGACTTCTCAGATACTTACAATTAGTAGAATGTTTTCATATTCCATATTAGATTCTACTCCATTTGTAACTATATTTCTCTGTTTTGCTTTCACTCCCATAGCTAATAAAAAGCTATATGATTTTTTTGGCAAATTGTTCAACTTTTACTAGTTTGCAATATTTTTAAGTGCGTTTGATATTTTGAAGAAGTGAAGTTTTATATTTTATAATTTGTTTTCTTCATATTTGAATTGTTTCTCATTATTTCATTAGCTTTTCTGAGCCTATAAATTGTTGACTTTCGCAATATTTGCTTGTAATTATTTGACTGAGCGCCGTGCCCTCTGTCAGTAACATCATTTATTAGTGGGATTGGCGTTGCAATATAATACTATGGTAATTAATACGATTTTCAAGCACTTTGAACTTCAACTTTGTTCACGAAGGTAATATTTTTTCAATTTTTTTACAAATTTAATATATTTATTTATGTCATATTCAGTCCGAACGACATGAAACGTTCAGCGTAGTTTATTACAATACTATTACATGGTTTACTACATTATATTAATTTTGTCTTCTATTGTTTAATTTTTAATCATTATCTCTACACAGATGCGACATTAATTCATTTATAATACTAATATCTATTTTTGATAGATCGTTAGTTCAAATTGTACTTGTATTTAATGACTTTCCTGAATTACTATTCTTCAAAGTATCATACATACACGCGACATAAGTTGTCGAACATTAAATTATTATATTACCATTATAAATTCATTAATTACTAGTTACCTGAATATAAGTAAAACGTCAAATAAAAGCTATCCAAGCGCAAACATTAAAAGTAAATTACTGAAAACGCCATGTAGTAATCTTATTTAAAATTCCAATTCCAAACACTTAACCCACGCGCTAATAAATTATTCAGAATTATCTGGAAAGAAATTAAATATAGTATGTAACAAGAATCTAAGGTATATTATTAACACATTGTATCTAACTGATTAACAAACACTCCTCACGGTTTTGCGTGGGATCATAATAATCGTGTGAGTTAGAATATTTTTTAAAAATATTAATTCGAATATATTTACATACTTCATTATATAAGTTATTTTTATATTTAACAACTGTTTAAATATTTACTAATTATAAATGAATTTTAAATCTTTATTCAAAAAATATGTATTCACGGACAGAGTAGTAGGCTACTCATCTATTAGCTAAGGAACCATTTGACTACCCCTATATTACAAGGCAAGGAAACTGTTATATTTTATTTGACAATGCGTCAATTATGTCGGTAATACTCGATCGTATTATTAGAAAAGTTACATCTCTCTCTTTAATCTTTTATTCAGTTTGGAAGCATATTTCCTTTAGCTTCACATCGCATTTAATAATACCATGATAATTTAATTAAACCAATTGATCACGGCAAGTGTGGAATCAGTGTATATTGATGTCGACTAACTTAATAATCATATATTGGACTTGTTTGAGCCTTTTTCTTCTTGTAATAATTTGAGGTTAAATATCCTTTTTTGCAAAGAACCATTTTACTTATATTGTTTAAATATTGAATAAATCATCAATACGTTGAAAGCAATAGCTAAATTCTCATACATCTCTTACATACATTTTAGTCTCTGCACTTTTTGATTACACCACGAATTACAAACTTCTGAGAATTAATTTAAGTGTCGCTTTGTAACAATAAATACAAACAAACAAATCTTCTTCATGTTTATTTAAATTTGTCGTGCCTTCAATTATTTTACTTTGGCGGCTTGACGGCAAAGATACCCAGAAGCTGTGGACAGAATTATAATCAGCTTTTGTGATGAAACGGCGTTAATATTCTGTTTACATCAAGAACATGATCATCATTTCGGATATGTTATATAAATATTTGAAAACCATGTTTAGATAAATCACTATGGTCAAGTGATTTTTATGGATTTTTAGTTCACCTAATTTGAAACTTAGATTTTTAAAACGGTCTTTCATGTTGATCTGTGTTAGTGGGAGGTTGGATACCCCTCGGACAATCTGATGTCAAGCAACAGTGATATCGGTTTTAAGTTGAAAATATAGATAGCAATATGTGAAAATTGCCTTACTACGGTAATAATAAATTGGTCATGTAATACATAATTGCAATAAAAAATTCATCAAATAGAGATAGGATCGTTTGGTTTGTCTACTGAAAAAGCGACGTATTTAAGTAAATTATCAAAATAGCTTGTAAGATCCTTAGTTCTGATCGCTGCTCAAATACAACAAATATTATTTGCATATTTTTGATAAATTGAGATTCACTCTGTGTTATATATAATAAATTATATGGTGAATTATATTATATGTAGGTTCAGGTTCTGACTTACCGATACACTACAATATAATGTATGGGGTATATGTGCTTTATAGTCCGACAGACAGAGAGGGATTGGCCGCTTTGGCTCCAGTATATTCGCCTGACTTGCGACTTTGCGTTTTCTTTTTCTCTGTTGTCAAACACTTCTGCACGCTACTTCCAACAAAAAATTTATTAAAATCTTTTGTTTTATTTATTCTATACTATACAAGCAACCTTATTATGTACATTAACTATATAAGTTATAGGGCTACATTAAATATAACTGAAAAAAAAAACAAAGCAAAATAACAAATGGTAGGATGTGCGCCAATGCAGTTGACTATGGAATACAATTTTTGAGGCATAGTTTATAGGCAGTTTCCTGTAAAGTCTTCTTGTAGGCAAAATATCAAGCAAATGAGTTGTTGCAATAGGGTGACAGTAAGTTTTTGCTAGATGTTTAGCACTACTATTTTTAATTACATCCTCTACAAAAGAGATATCGAGGTATTAAACATTGAGTAAGTTATCTTTATACTTTCGAATGAACCTAATTTCCGAAGCTCTTTTTTAAATTATTCATTTGATCAGCTAG